TACATAACACCGTCTGTTTGCCCCGTGTTGATTATTTCAGGTGACTCTTGGGGGGAGCGGCAATTGGGGGACCCCAGATTCCTGCAGCAAAGCAAAGCTCACATCCATGTGCAAAATGTCCCCTGGGCACGGGCAGGTGGGGCTCTGGGTCCCCATCCCACAGCGGGGACAACAAGCTCGTCCTGCTGCTCACTGCCCTCCTGAAAGGCCCCCAAATTTGGGGAAAAGGGCTGTGCTTCCTCCTGCAGAGGGCACTGGGAACTTGTGCTTTTTGCTTTCCTGGGAAGATCCCCTGGAACTGGAGCAGCTCCCGCTCACACCACTGTCCTCTGCCTCTGCTCTCCCTGGGTTTGGGGACACTTGGTGTAACATGGCCAAGGCTCTAGGCCTCGCTGGGGGAAAACAAGAAGCCAGGGAGCTGATTCATGTGGAAAGCCACCGCCGAGAAGGCAGCCTGTTCCTGGCTGTGCTTGGCTGCCCTTGCTTCTCCCTCTGCGACGGAGCCGTGGTGACATTGGCTTCTCTTTGGGTGACACCGAGGTGGGGTTGGGACAGCTTCACTGTGGGTTTACAAAGCCCAGCCAAGACGTGCTTCCCATCAGCTCGGTTTTGACAGCACTGAACCACCAATCTCACCTAAATCCCCCAATTATTGAGCCTGGACGTGTTTGACCACCTCAACGCAGGAGATGCTCACAGCACAGATAGGTACCCGTACGAGGATACAGGCACAAATCCATCATGGATGGGCACGATGGGATGAGAATACAGGCACCCATCTGTGCCGTGAGCATCTCGCACGCACTGGGTTACTCCTCTCCCCTTTCCCCTTGGGAGATGTAGCTCCTCCAAAGCGCGTTCCAAAATCCTGTCACTGTAGCTTTTCTGGGGGAAGGGAAAAATGTTTTGCATCAGAGCGTCTGATTTTGATATTCTGTCCCAGAAAGGGTTTTTTTTTTGCTGAGTTGGGTTGGCATCGCCTTACGACTTGCAGTAACCCAAAGACACATATTGGCCAGCTGCGATGGCATTTCCCATCCCATTGCCCTTCCTGGAGAGAAACTGGGCCAAGGGGAAGGTATTTTGCCCAGGACTGGAGTGAAGTCAAACTAAAATGATCTCAAAATCCTTTGTGAGTTGGCATTTCTTTTCTGTTCAAGCTATCAGATGAGTCTCTGACCTTCCATTAGCCCTGCTCTAGTCCATATCAGGAGATGACCATCCAATCCCCAGGGATGCTGGGGACCCCTCCCAGAGGCTGCAGGGTGGCTGACCCCACCACCACCCCGGGGGAAGGCGCCAGAGCCTTGGGGACCCTCCAGCCTTAGAGACTGTGGGGAGCCCGGCCGGCTCCGGTGCCTTCCCCGGGGGCTGAAACACCCCGCAGGCACCAGCCCAGCCTCGAGAGGAGGCTGGAGACCCGCAGCCAAGCTCTTCTGCTGTGACAGATGGAAATGGGGAGGGTTTTTTTATGAGATGAGAGAGAAAAAGCTAAAGGCCACTTGTGCAATTAAGTGCCTTAAATGTGGATTTTATTTCGATGTAATGGGATGGTTATTGCATATAAAAGAAGTGCCAGATGGCTGTTACAACCACATTTACTAAGTTCTAATAACCATGCGTTTGACCTGTAGCCCATCAAGAACTGCAGTCCCTCATTATAAAATAGCTCAGGAGCTCTCACCCCAGGCAGAGCCTCTGGCTGCTCCTTGCTGGGACCTTTGCACGGCAGCAGCACTTACTGTCCATCGCAGGACTTGGCCTCCTGGTGTGGCTCTCCAGCCACAGGATGCTCTGCCTGTCTCTGAACATCAGTTGGTTGGTGATGGTGACAAGGACAGAGGGATAGGGAGATGTGAAATAAATCTGCCAGCTTGGGGAGAGGGGCCAGGACCCCTCCACGGGGTGCAGGACAGTGGAAGGTCTCTGCACACGCCAGGGCAGAGCTCTTCTCCCCTGCTCTACCTGGTGCCAAGGGGCTTGGAGGGTGGAGGATGAAGATTGGAAGGTGGAGGACAGAGGATGGAGGATGGATGATGGAGGGTGGAAGATAGAGGGTGGAGGATGGAGAGAGGAAGGTGAAGGATGAAGGACAGAGGGTGGAGGAAGGCCCTGGGAGGAGCAGAAAGCTGGGGTATGGCTTCTTCTGCCCCCGTGGGAGCCTTGCTTAAACACACGCAGGTGCAGGCAGGGAAAGAATGGGGTAAATTTACAGAGGGGACTGCAGTCTCATCCCCCACTGCCTCCTCACACCCACTGCATGGGATCTGGGTGGCTCAGCCCTGCAGCAGCCCCGAGGCTGGCAGTGCACAGCATCAGCCTCCGCAGCACCTCTGGGCTGGATCTGGACCCCGTGCATTCGAGGGGAGCCCAGGAGAAGCAGGGGAGTGAGCCCCCAAACCTGTGGGCTGTGCCACGGCATCCCTCCCCCCGGCTCTGCCTGCCGACAGCGCAGCCAGCCTTCCTTCTTTGGTAAAGACTTCAACAATTCCCTTTTTAGGCTTAATATCACCAGTCCTGGGAAGGAACAGGAGCCCTTCCCCAGCCCCCAGCCCGGCTCTGAGCAGAGGGGCTGCCCACAGGGCTACGGTCCATGCTCCGGCTGCCTGTAGATGGCTGAGACAGCCCTTCCTGGGGGTGCTCCCTGCCCCGGCAGCACCTGCCTCGCTGGAGGGACACCGTTGGTCCCTGCTCGGTGGGATCTCGCCTGCTCTACCTGCTTTCCCAGGAGCACACCTCGCCCTGGCCAGCACGAAGGCATTACTGCGCTGGCGTCTGCTTTCCTTATTATTACTCCTGGAAAGCTCTCCCTGATGAATCCCAGCTGGGAGAGTCTCTTTTTTCTTTTTTTTTTTTTTTTCTTTTTGAGTCTTATTAAATTGTTGATATGTATTTTTCTGCAGTGCTGTTCACCCTCCCCTCCCCATTCCACTCTGCATCCTGCTGGTGCCCCCCTTGTAGGAGGGGATGAGGGGCTGCCAAGCTGCTTGGACCCAAATTCATCCCTCCCCCCCAGGTGTCAGACCCGTGGGCTCCCTGTGAGCACTAGCCTGCTGTGGGGCTCTCCCAGTTAGCCCAGTCCCTACACTGGCAGGGGCTGGCAGTGCCTTCCAGCACCCCGTACCCTCCTGACAGCATCCCCCGGGCACAGCCCCCGTGTGAGCCCCCACAGCATCTTCTCCCATTAGCAAAGTGATTTACCGACCCCTCCTTGCTCCATGCTGCCCCAGCGAAGTGACCCGCATCCCAGCACTGCCCAGTCCCAGGCAGGAGGATGGATGGGGAGCTGGGAACTCATTGAAAGGCTCCAACAGATGGGTTGTGTTTACACCATTCCCATCGTACATGTTGAAACTCTCCTGTTTTCGTGGGATGATGTCAGATTTGGGCTCCTCGGCCAGATTCCCTCTGCCGCGGGGAGGGAGATGGAGTGGAGGAGGTGAGAGTGAGAGAGCAGGCTATGGGGAAAGGGAGGAATCTGACCAGGACACTCAGAAGAGTCCTACACCTCCCTCTCCATTGCATGAGAGATGGGATGAAGCAGGCAGGTGAAATGCCGCTGCCCGATCCACTGCTCTTCCCGGCTCCCGTTGGCTTTGTCATACCAAGACCAGGCATTTTCACAGCATCACGGAATTGTTGGGGTTGGAAGGGACCTTCAGAGATCATGCCCAGCCCAGAAAGTCTATTTGGGTTGGCAAAATACTCTCCCAGTTATTTAATAAATTATTTTACAAAGAGCTAAATGCAGCCACAGAATCATTAGGGAAACTGGACAATAATTAACAGATATCCAGTGAGTTAAGGTCCAGTTAGCGTGGCATACAGAGACATGAGAAGGGAAGTCTGAGCAGGAAAGGGCACGGTGAGATCCCACCATGCCCTGGATGGAAAGTGGGTGCTCCAGGGGCAGAGCGATGGCTCAGGGACTGTGTGGGGGACGTAGGGACGATGCTCCTCGTCCTGCCCGGTTGTGAAATCAGGTGCTGCCCAGGCTGGCCCTTTGCAGGGGCACGGGGTGTTTGGCTGCGGGGTGCCTTCTCCTCTCAGGACCTTCCCAGTGCTTGTTTCCAGCACAGCTCGGGTTCCTGGCAGCCCCAGAAATCCCAAGGAAAGGCCCCAGGAACCTGTTACACAAGACAAGGGGGACATTGACCCATTGGTGGGAAATGGAGTAATTTCCCATTGCCCAAGAGCACCCAAAGAAAACAGCTTTGCCTGGAGCGGGGGTACAACCTCCTTGTGAGGGAGAAGATGGAAGCCTGAAGGCTGATGAGATCTTTGCCCTCTGGGCCAGGACTACAGTCCCTTGTCCCTAGAGCCATCAGGAGCAAGGGCTTGGTCACAGCAGGGATGTTTGGCTGGTGACAGGGCTTTATGGAGCTAATGCTCCTACCCCAGTGAGGCCACTCTCTTCCAGCACCAACCTGCTTCCCACATGGCAGCAGCCTCCCAGAGAGAATGTTGGGGTTCAGGTGACCCCCACAGAGCTTGGGAAAGACTCATTCTTGGCTAAGCCAAGGCTGCTTTCCCCATGGGTGGCATAAGCAAGTGTGGGGAAAGGAGGACCCAGCAGGGATTGTGGCTGGGGCAGGTTTCCTCTGGAAAAACCTCAAAGAATCATCCCTGGGAAGGCACAAGCAGCCCCACGTGGATCTGGATTGTGCTGTAAGGTTTGGTTTGCAGGTCCATGTGGAAGCAAGGTACAGAGGGTAAACCCACATCACGGACCCCCAGAAGGGATCACAGCAGTCACCACAATGGTTTCTCCTGGAGAAACATATCTGCCCAGGAGAAAGCAGCTCCACTGCCTCCAGGCTGCTTGGAAGATGATGTCCTGGACCATCTTCCCTTGGCTTGTCCCTCAGCCCCAGGTGTGGCTGCAGGGAACAGTTGTGCAATGGAATAACAGCTTTTTGAGCAGTTGAACAATCCTGTTTGTGTCTTGTGCAAAAGGCTTCCGGAAACCACAATGCAACAGCAGAGGAAAGGGGTACAAACATCAGGACGTGCCCATCCTCCCCAAGGGTTTAAATGTTGGTGCCCCCCAGCTCCCCACGCTCACACCTCTCGGGGACACGGCAGCATGAAGTCGGTGGCCGCCCTCCTGCTGGTGGGGATGCTCATCCTCTGGACAGAGCTGCCGACAGGTACGAGATGTCCTGGGATAAGGGGCAGGGAGGAAAAGCCCAGGGGCTGGGAAGGAGCCATGTTTGCAGGGATGGGAGGGGAGAGGAAGGGATTATTTTCAGGGGGGGCATCTCCCCAGTGCCCCTCAGCTCTGGCAGCCTGGAGCAAACATCTCCTTCTTCTTACAGGTAGTGCCTGGTCCTGCCCACCCGTCCGCATCGTCTGTGCCATGCACAACCCTCCCAACCAGTGCTACACCGACCGGCAGTGCCCACGGTACCACAAGTGCTGCCCGTCCTTCTGCGGGAGGAAATGTCTCTCACGGCGGTCTACCCTCCCCATCTCCTACGGTAGGATCTCAGGAGCCCCCCATCCTGCTCCCACCTCCCTGGGTAGCAAAGGGGGGATACAGTGATGGTGGCTCTGGGCAGGGAAGCCGTGTCCAGCTGCCAGAGCCCTCCACTGCCAAGCTGGTGGGGGGGCTGATGGCCAAACGGGTGGGCTGGGGTCACTCTGACCTGGGCTGTTGCTTTCTCTCCCTTTCCCCAGCATGAGCTCCTGCTCCCAGGACAGACCCAGGGTCTTCTCAGCATCCCCGTGCCACCTTGGCACCAGCCAGCTGCCCACGCCTCTGCTAAGGCTTGTCCTGCCCGATGCCAGCTCCTGGGAGGATGGGACAGCCACCAGCCCACGCTCAGAGACCACCTCGGCTCCGGGACCACCCCGCTGACAGCTGCCTCACGGGGTTACCTGCCGCCTGCTCGTCCTCTCCCTCTGCTTCCCCACTGCTCCTTTAGCAAATAAAAGAACTTGTCCCAGGGGTGCTCACGATGTGCAACTCCTTTGCCCACCTCCTCCAGGCTCATCCCAGCACACACTCCCACCACAGCTTTCACCCCAGAACTTCTCCCTGGGGAAGAGGACGAAAACAGTCCAGCTGTGCACCTGGAGTGTGGGCAGGGGCTGGGTTTGGGGGAACAGATCCATCCAGAGGCAAAAAAACCCCAGGAGGAGAGGGTAATGGGGAGGGGTTGGAGCAAAACACAATGGGATGATTTAAGGGATGCTCCTGGAGGGCTTTGAGGGGCCCCAGAGAGCAGCGTGTCCCCTCCTCCCCAGGCACACCCCAAAGCAGACAGGGCTGGGGGCAGGGGGGACAGAGCATCCCTATGGGTACC